CAGGCCTCCTCCCCGGATCCACACACACTGGGAACCAAGAAGGGAAGAACTTTCCAAGCGGTGCACCCCCAAGCAGAGATCGCAGCTGTAGCTGCCTCCCCGAGTCCCCCCAGGAGACAGGCCCTGGACAGGAATAGAGCAGCCCACGGCTTCTGTAAGGCTGGCGGGGGCAGGGGCAGCTAAACCCAGCCTGGCAGGTGGTTCCCTCGGGAGGAGCAGAGCCCTCGCTGGGCAGAGCTCTGGGTCTCTGAGCTCATTCAGTTCTGTCTCCCTCTCTGGGGAGGGGGCCGTGGCCAGGTACAGCTCTTGACTGGGACTCTGAAACCTCCAGGAGACCCCGAACGCCCCCGGGCGTGAGAATCAATGAGCTCCATCCAGTAAACAGAGCACAGCTAATGTATATATAGGCCCTCCCACCTGGTTTCCAAAAGGATTTGCAACAGCTTTTGCGAGAGACAAAGAAATGAGCATTTCGGGCGTGCCAGAGTTTACTCATGAGCTCTCCCACCACAGACCACAGGGACCAGCGCCAGGACAGAAGAATCTCAGATCCCCCCAGGCAGCCGTGTGAGCAGTGATGAGCAACCCACCCCTGGAGGTGTGCAAGCAGAGACTGGAGGCTGGCACCGGGGAGGGACCCATGCACCTGGTACAGGTTTCACCTGATGCTAAGTTCTGCCGAGGAGAGATGTTGCCAACCATGCTCGCTCAGCCCCCACCCTGCCCGCAAAGAGAGGCAGAGCCTGACATACAGCGGGCGGTGGCAGCCACTTGCCGGCTTCTTCCCACCCTCCCCAAGCCATTTCCCCAGATGATTGAAAACTAAGGAGAGGAAGCCGCGAGGCATCCCATGTGGTGTCCTGAGCCCCACCAGGAGTGATCCCTGAGTGCAGAGCACTGCTGGTGTGGCCCAAAGACACTTAAAAAATATAGAATAATAATAATAATAATAATAATACTGAGAAGAGGGGCCAGAGAGATAGTACACTGGGTAGCATATGTTTTAAATAAGGCCAATCTGGGTTCCATCTCCAGCATCCCCAATCTCTGAGGCGGAAGGCCCTACACACTGCTGGATGCGGCAGAAAGAAATGGAGGGAGGGAGGGGAAGGAGGGAGGGAGGGAGGGAGGGAGGGAGGAAGGGAGGGAGGGAGGGAGGGAGGATGGGAGGGAGGGAGGGAGGGAGGATGGATGGAAGGAAGGAAGGAAGGAGAAAAAGAAAGAACTGTGTGGAAGGTTGGGACAGTCCCCTGCTGGTCTGCTGAAGCAGTCTGGGGTCCTCAGAGAGAAAGTGGGCTGCAAGGCATGGGATCCTCCAGAGACCTCAGCACATGCAACACCACCCCCTCTGTTCCATGTGGCCACGCTGTCCCGTCCCCTCTCTGAGGCACCCCGCTCCTAGAGAGCACTCCCATCGATACCCCAGAGAGCCACAGCACACCTCTTACCCCATCATAGAACCTGACACACGTTGGCATGTCCTGAGGTGGAGCTCTGCCTTGGAGCCAGAGGGCAGTTTCCCGCTCAGGCCCACGTGCGGGTTCTGGCAGGACACAACCCTGCCTGGTCCCAGGGGCGCCTCCAGGGGTGGAGGTGGTCAGCGAATGAGAACGAATCAGGAAGGCACTCGGACAAGTTCTCTTGGGGAAGAGGACACCAGGGCCAGCCAGGACGCATCTTTGGGCAGTGTCTGGGCAGAGGTGGGTTGGTGCAATCAGAGGAAAATCTGGCTTGGTGCTTGTTTTGGCTTAGACCTTTTGCTTACTCCTGGCTCTGCACTCGTACCAGTCTTCAGAGTGCTCAGGGTGTGTGCAGGCAAGTGCTCTCCCTGCTGTACGAGAGCTCCAGGCCCTGGGCCTGGTGTTTGAAGCAGGTGTGGGGAGAGGGAAGGAGGCAAGTGGGCTAGGGAAGGCCAGAGCGGGTCTGTGGGAGGAGACAGTCACAGCAGGACAGGAGAACTGGGGGCTGAAGGAGGGAGCGGTTCCTGGCTCTGTGCTTCAGGGACTCTCCTGGCAGTGCTCAGACATGGCAGGGATGGAAGCTGAGCCATGTGCATGCAGAGCCTGCATTCCATCCTCTGAACTGCGGGAATGGGTCAGACCCTTCCCTCCCTGCAGGAAGGCAGCACCTTGAGAACCCCTGCTGCTGAGGCCGTCACAGCTGTCTTTGCACAGACAGGCCACGTGCCTCCACCATCTGGTTGTCAGTTCCGAGAATCTCATTATCCTCCGGTCTGGGCTGGACCCTGCCTACCCTGCTGCCAGGAGGGAAATGCTTTCACCTCACCATAAGGGCAAGGCCTGGTCTCTCAGGGCCAGAGGGCAGGGAGGGGCAGACAGGGTTCTTCACTGAGGCCATGGGGGGTGCACAATCTTCCTTGCCTGACTTCTGACCACGGGACTTGTATTTGTCGTGTTGGGCACACTGCCTGCTCCCACTCCTCAGGAGCCCTGGATACTTTTTTTTTTTTCTTTTTGGGTCACACCCGGGGATACACAAGGGTTACTCCTGGCTCTGCACTGAGGAGTTACTCCTGGCTGTGCTCAGGGGACCATATGGGATGCTGGGAATCAAATCCGGGTCGGCCGTGTGCAAGGCAAACGCCCTACCCGCTGTGCTATCGCTCCAGCTCCCAGCCCTGGATATCTTTTGCTCTCTGCTGAGTTTTTTGCTTTGGGAGGAGAGGTTCACTCCTTTCTCTGCAGGTGGGGCTCAGGGGATCATATGGGCACTCACTCAAAATACGGCCACTGCAGAGCAAGCACCAGACCCACTGTAGTATCTCTCCAGCCCCACTTCCCTGCCTCAGTGTCAAGCCTGAAAACAATGGGCCGTTAGCAGGGCTGTGTCCAGGACTTAATCACTTGGTAAACTCTCAAGTTATTTGTGATTCTGGAGAGGGCTTTGAAAATTGTAAATCCTTTGTGTAATTTGTAATTGTGTAATGTGCAATGACCAAACACTTGGTAAACTGTTCGGTGAATGAGCCCGCGTGGGAAACTGCCAAGTGCTTTTATAAACTTCCAGCTCTGCACTGCGCGAGGCTGCCGGATGGAGGGGGCCGTGCCACCCGTGACCCCCAGAGGCTGCGTCATGCCTCCGGGCCTGCACGCCCGCATCACCGCATCGGCTGAAGAGCGAGCACAACCACGAGGTCTGGAGAAGGGGCGTGCAGGGCGCGAGGGACTGGGGGCGGGGGGGGGGGGGGGGGGGGGTCCTCTCGCGGCGCACGTTGTCAAAGTCCGGGCTCTGCCGCCTCCTGGTGGCCGCAGGAGGAATGACGAGGCATCCTGAAGCCTCGCGGCTGGACGCGCAGGCAGACCCGCGCACGCGCACCGGTCCACGTGCTCCCCCCCCACCCCCCCGCATACCAGCGTCGGGGTTCACTCTGGGCCTCGCGCTGGCTTTCATGTTACTTGTTCTTTCGGGGTTGCATTCAACGGAGACTGACCATGCGCTCTTGGTCGGGGGGGTGGGGGGGGGTTGAGGTGGGAAGAGGACAAAGAGGACAATGATAGGTTACAGCTGTCTGGACAGCAAAGATGAGCTGGACGTCCAGCTAGGAGGGGTGGGGGGCACGCACCGGGGCACCCTGAGGAGGGATACGGGAGCATGCATGGCTGGCGGGGACATCCCAGGCAGAGGGCACGGCCAGTCCAGGGGCCTGGGGTGAGCTGCACCTCCTGGGAATGGGAAGGCCAGATGGGGGCGGACGTGCCTCTACTGCTAAGGGCAGCGCCAGGAGGAACCAGGTGGCAGGGGTCTGCCACTGACCATGGACTCCTGGGGATGGGCTGGTGAACAGAGGCACAGGGCTGGCTCCTGGAACCCTGCCCGGTATTGCGGTGGGGGCTGCTTCCCATGTTGGCTCCCTGGCCCAGGCAAGGTTGGGTACTTCCACTGAGCCCAGCCTCTGGGTCTTGATCACCACCATGCAGGGCTTCTGGTCAGTAGTGGGGCTCCTGGGTCCAGTGGAAGAAACTTGGTGTGACGCTGCAGGGCTGCACTGCCTGGGCCCTGGAAGCTGGCCTTCCTCCCACTGCCCCCCCCCCCCCACCTCCCCACCTCAGGGAGTCCAGCACCAACTCCACCCCCAGCCTCCACCTAATAAGCTGTGTGGCTCTGGGCAAGTGACCTCAGCTCCTCGCCTCAGACCGGGAACAACAGCAGGCTGCAGGCAGCGGCCTATCAGTGAGACAGTGTCCAGGGTGGGGTGCAGCCCCCCGCACGGCCCATCACTGCGTGTGCCGGGCTATCACACTTGGGGACAGAGGGACAGATGACCGGGCCACGTTCACTGAGAGGCCACTGGGGAGCTTCAAGTTCCCTAGTGGACAGGCCTGACCATCTCAGGGGAACAGGGGTCGCCGCAATGACAGTCTCACACCAGCTTTCATCCCACTGTTTTGTTTTTAAATTAAACTAACAATTGGGTTTCGGCCCCGCCCAATCTACCAGGGAGAGGGCCCAGGGCGGTTCCATTCTTCAAAAAAATATATTTTCTTTTTTTCTTCTTTTTCTCTTTTTCTTTTTTAAAAACACCAAAAGCAAATCCAGAGCCCCGCCAGAGCCGGTCCCCAAGGGGTGTGAGCTGGGCAGGTCACCGGCACCTGTCTCAGCAGAGACCCGGCCCGCACCCCGACCCCAGCCTGAGTAGAGGGCAGGATTACGCCTGCTGGTCCCCCGAGGGGTGACAGAAGTGATCGGCTCCAAACCATGCAAGAAAAGCCACCAAACCCACAAAGCAAAAGAAAAAATAATAATAATCAAAAGGATAAATTAAAAAAAAAAAAAGAGAGAGAGGTGGGGGGCTCGGACTTACCCCCGGAGGCCCTGCCGTGTGGGGTGAAGGTTTGAGGAGGGTCCTGGTGCCCACTCACAGGGATCTCTAGGGGATCCCCGCGGCCCATCCCTTCCCTACAGCCCCCAATCCATTGCTGGAAGAGGTGTGGCCACCCTGGGCCAGTGTGTGCAAAGTTCATTCAGTTGATAAAATTAAAAAAAAAATGTACAACTTAAGTGGCACCCAGGGCCGGGTGAGCAACAGCTGCCTTCACTGCCGGGCCAGCAGCATCCGCCGGGCCATCCGGCACCTCCGGGTCAGGTAGCAGGGGCTGGAGACTCGGGTCCCTGGGGCAGCAGGGACAGAGGCACGGGCCAGGCCTGAGCGGGTAGGCACAGGCCCCTCAGTCCTTGGCAGCTTGTGGATGTGAGCAAGCGGGAGCTGTGCGGTCTGGTGCGCAGCGTGGGGCCTGGCCCCATACCTAAGAGTCTTCCCCCAGGATCTCCTGCACAAAGGCAGCGATGTCCGTCTTCTTGGTTTTGTGCAAGGTGAAGAAAGGGTGCTCCTGCAGGGGAGAAGGAGGCAGCCCAGTGAGTGTGACAGGAGGAGCAGGGGGACAGGACAGGCAGCCCCCTCCCTGGCCCATTCCAGCCCTGTATCCTGCTCTAGCCCAGTCACCCTGCTCCTGCCTGGCAAACTCCTATTCGACCTTCTTGGACCTCTGCCCCAGGAGGCAATCCTCATTAGGGGCTGCCCTTCTTGGGTTCCTTCTCCACCCTGCAGCCCCACTAAGTTGGATGGTTCCCAGGTAGCAAAACTTCCCTGTGGAGGACCCTCTCTCCACCATCAGGGACATCCCTAAACTCCTTCCAGGCCCATTCAAAGGACAACTCCTCTGTGAAGCCTTCCCCGATGCCTCTGGATAAAAATTATTCCCCAGGACCCATTGTTCTCTGAACCCTCCGTGGGGCTGAGTGCTGGAGGAAGCCACCAGGGGTAGGTGTGTGTAAAAGGATGACTAAATGATCAATCACCCACACCCACCCACCCACCCACCCATACACACACATACTCAACTGTTCCCACTCCTCACTCACCATCAGCTCCAGATAGCTCATGCGCTCTGCTGGGTTCTTCCTCAGGCTAGGAGGAAATAGGAAAAAGGCTGGGGCCAGGCTGGCAAGGGAGACAAAGTCTTGCCTCCCCCTCCAGACCAGCAAAGCCAGGCCCTGCTGACAGCTGCCTCAGCGAGGGGGCCACATGCTCCGAGGGCTCAGGAAGGGGCAGGCCTGCCCCAGGGCTCCCAGGGTGAGGGTGGGGATTGGGTGAGAACCCTTGGTGCTAACTCAGGAGACAACCCTTGGTACTAACTCTGCCCCTTGGGGGCTTCACTCTCCTATCTCGAGGAGTCTAGGATATTCCTAGTGATCCCAATTCTAAATACCCAAAAGCTAGTTAGCCACCATTCACCTGGCACCCTTCAACAGAGGAGCAGACTCCCTATCTCAGGCCATGGGGGGCGGGGGGGGAGAGGCCACGAGTTAGGAAGGGTTCAGGTGATCGGCAGTTCTGTGTGGCTGGGGTTCACGCACCTTCGGCCTCTCTTGGTTTCTAATGAAACAAGTAAAGGCTATGAATTTTCCTCTCAGTAACTCTTTGCCTACAACACACAGCTGTTGATATGTTGTGTTCTCCTGGCCTTTTCACTGATGAATAGTTGGCGATTTATTTTTAAAATCTCATCTGTGATCCAAGAGCTACTGAAAAGAATTTACATTTACTTTCCTCCTTTTTAGTTATTAACAGGCTTTATTCTCAACTGGCTGACAGTCAGAGAACAGTGGTGTGCCTATGTTTCTCTTGCCCCCTATTTCCTCTGCAGTCTCAAACACAATTTTTATAAAGCTCCTACGGTCATTCTTTAAAACAGTACAGTCCTGCGGCTGGAGAGATAGTACAGTAGTAGTGGGGCACTTGCCACGCATGCGGTCAACCTGGGTTCAATCCCCGGCATCCCCAATCATCCCCCAAGCCCACCAAGAGTGATTCCTGAGAGTGTAATAACCCCTGAGCATCACTAAGCATCCTCCGCCCTCCCCCAAACAACAGCAAAGTTCCAAATATCAGAAAAACAAAGGGGCTTGTTACACTGTGTGAGTCCTCCACAGGTTCTGGTCTTTTCTCAGTCTAACTGCTCTGCTGGTTTCTAGGACTGGAATAAAATCTCCCCCAGGATCACAATCTAAACAATTTAGCCTGTGCTCACTTTCTGCCTTTCCTGCACTGATACTACCCATCTGAAGGTCTCCTCGGCTACAGAAGGGGCCTCGGCCAGCAAGGGGCTGGGTGCAGCCAGGGCAGAGAGGGGACTGGCTGCGGCTACGGGAGATCTGGGGGCTGACAGCTCACCACTGCGCAGTGAAGTCTACGAACTCGGGGGAGAAGCGGTCGGCAGGAAGCTGCGGTGATGGCTCTTCTACCACTTGCTTCAGCTGCTGGAACGGTGTCCCCCAGGACTCGTACGGAAACCGGAGAATGGCCATCTCAATCTGCGGGGCGGCAGAGGCATGGGTCAGGGACCCCCCAGGAGCAGGACATTAGGGAAACCTTCCAGAGCCCAGAGCTTGAGCCCCAAGGTGGGTCAAAAGGCTTGATACCAGGACCAGGACGAGGACCTGACCATGACCTGACCAGGACCCAGCTATGAAGGGCTTAACGATCAGTTTTCAAAACCATCTGAATTCAGAAAATTTTCCACAAATGCCCAGATCCCAGCTCGTCTAGATCAGCCTGAGAGGCGGGCAGCCACAGCCACTTGTCCATGAAGTCAGCAGCAAGGACACCTTTCCTGGGGCCTCTGGCCTCAGTCGACCCGAGTTCGATTCCTCCGCCCCTCTCGGAGAGCCCGGCAAGCTACCGAGAGTATTCAATATGCCAGACACAGTAACAACAAAGTCTCCAATGGAGACGTTACTGGGCCCGCTCGAGCAAATCGATGATCAACGGGAGGGCCCTTTACTTTACTTTACTGGCCTCAGTGGCTTCATCCTGTCTCACATGCCCAGTTCCTGTCACCCGCCTCGGAGGAGACTGTCAGGCCCTGAGCTCATGGGACAGGTCTCTGGGCCACACAGGAACAGGGGTATGCAGTCCCTCCTCTGCCCACCTGCCAGCATCCGGGCCCGCAGCTGCTGCCCTCCCTCTGCAATGGCTCCCGGCTCCACCTAGATAAGGTCCCTGGTGGGCCTCACCTCTGCAGTGGATGAGACCTCCCTGTCCATCCGAGGCCAGCCTGCACAAGGACCCAAACCTGCACCTTGTGCCCTGGCCCCTGCCTTGCCAGCAGTTGGTGGGAAGTCTTTTGTGGAAATGACCGACAAGCTGATGATCAACTCTTGGGTCCAATTTTGACTACCCAGATGAAAAAAAACAATGAATTAGGTCAGCCCAGGCCACCGCCTGGAACAGCAGAGGCCTCTCACTGACAGGCCATAATCACCGTAATGAACGGAAGAGGCCGCAGCTCCAACAAACGCGCTGGGCTGGCAGGCAGCACTCGAGCAGACACTAATTACTGTGTTCGAAAGGGCCTCCCCGTTAGGCGCAAGGCCCCTTCCCACCAAGACACCGGCACAGGCTGCAGATGGAGGAGCTTCACAATTGGGTGGGTGGGGGGCATCCAGTGGGGACTTTCACAGGACAAGCTGAAGGCGCTTCTTGCCTAGTGTTCCTGACAGCCTGCAGAAGGCAGGACCCTGCACGGGACCCAGACCAGCCCTGCGGGCTGCCACCATTTATAATTAGGAAAAGAAAAGTGTCCAGATCTGTGACCTAGAATCCCCCTCCTGGCCAATTTTTCTCTAGCGGGCACAAAACAAACAAACAAAAATAAAATCAGCCTCTGGGCACAGAAAGGCACCGTGCACTGTCATGTCTGACTGAATCTTCAGAAACCACCTAAACATCCGGCACCAGGGCACTGGCCCTGCACAGGCCCCGGATATGTCTGGAACTGGGTGCGCTGGACACCCCAAACCAGCCATTACAGGAATCATGTGCAACTGATGCCCACTGAAGCTGAGAGTCTTCTGGAATATTTGATCTGCCCTGGACTATCTACACCCTTCATGCCCGGAGGGGGTCTGACAAGAGCACCCCAGGATGGGTTCAGGGGACCCTGGGCGGGGGGTGCCCGCATGCTCCCCCGGCTGCCAGGGAGTTCCAGAGAAAAGGAAACGTTAGGGGATGAGGCTCATAGTGAAGCAGAGCACTTGCATGCATTCGTCCTGGGATTCCTAGGACAGGGTGGGAGGGGAGGGGAAGGGAGAAGTGGGGAGAGGAGGGGAGAAGAAATTAATGTCTCTCAATAAAAAAATCACAAACAATTGTATATCCCAGTGAGGGCTGGTTGGTAGATGGTGACGTACAGTTGAGGGGAGTTTGGAGGAAACCCCTCTGCTGGGGTTTCTACTGAGCCAGAGAAATAGCCCTTCTGGTTCAGCTCCGGGTTGATTTTCTCGGGCTGTGTGAACATCCCGACATGAGATGAAGAAAAAGGCAAAATAAAAACTAAATTAAAAAAAAAAAGAAATACTAAATGTTTTACAACAGGAGAAAATGTCGGCAGCTGACCTGGGGAGAAGGGAAGTCTGTCTTTGAGAATAAATCAGGCGATTTTCCACTTTCACTTCTTTGTTTTTATGTTATTTCTGTGACTTTTATGACTGTGGGGGGACCTGACTGGCGCTGACCGCCTCCCCGCTGACCACCATGTGACCCCAACCTCAGCTGGACTGGACAACTTAAAGAGGAAGAAGTAGTCCCATGGCAGTTTCAGGTCTAACGGGTAACAGCCCTTCTCTGGGACGGCAGCCACAAAACGATACTGTGCCTAACACCCGGGAGGGGTCAGCATAGAGCCCAGTCTGCCAGCCCAACCTTGACCCTAGTTGTGACTCCAGCTGTGACTCCAGTCTTGACCCTGATGTGACTCCAGTCATGACCTTAGCCATCCTAGTCGTGATCCCAGTCATGATCCATCGTGACCCCACTCATGACCCCACCTATGAACCCAGCTGTGATCCCATCCTTGATCTAGTCATGACTCCAGCCGTGAGTGATCCCAGTCCTGGACACATGGTCCATGGCTGTGATTTCCCATCAAGCACTGCGACCTCGGGACAAGTTCCATATGTGTGTTGCAGGGACTGGGGGTTGCAGTATTTGTAACACAATGTCACCTGCAGACATTCCTTTCAGTGTATTATGACTGGTCAGGGCACTGGGCATTTTGCCAGAAGCTCAGGGGTAACAGGCTGGCCCCAGCCCCCAGGCCGTACCATGGTGATGCCGAGGCTCCAGACATCGGACTTGACATTGTAGCCCTTCTGGTTCAGCTCCGGGTTGATTCTCTCGGGCTGTGTGAACATCCCGACACGAGATGAGCGAAGGGTCCTCAGCCAGGCCTAACCACCCACCCACCCCAAAACTCGGGGACTGGTGCGCATATATCCTGTCCCAGCTTCTCGAGGCAGAGATGGGGCAATGAGGCCTGTGTGGGCCCTGGGCGAGTACTGAAAGCTTGCCTGCCTACTAGGGAGAGAGGGTCCCCACCTTCCAGACACCGAGCAAGGGCAGGGCCTGCACAGACCCTGAGCTACCTCCAGGAGGGAATTCCTGCAACTTATCTTCTAAAGGGGCACTTTAGGGTACAGTTAGTAACAGGTGCAAACGAGGCCCTTTGTGACAGGACATGCAACATCTGGGGAGGCCTCTCCTGCAGGAGAGAGGACCTGGCCACACTATGCTTTGGACCTGGGGAGACCCAGGGGCCCCCTTACAGCCATGTAGGGCTTGCAGCCAGCATCCATTGTCTTGGCCACTGAATCCACCAAGTAGCCGCTGATGCCAAAGTCGCACATCTTCACGTGGCCCTCCTTGTTGATGAGCACATTCGACGGCTTCACATCTACAGGGGACACAGACCTTTCTCAGCTCCTAGCCACTGAACCCATCTGGAGGCCTGCAGGCACCTCCACAACAGGCCCAGGGGAGGAGGGCAGGAAGTCAGGCCCCACAACTGGCCAAGGAAACAAACGTCCACACCATCAGTACTCTGGCCCAAGGTCAAGATAGGGGCATGTCCAATGGCTCGGACACAGACCAAGAGCTGGCCTCTAGGTGCTATAAGACCTCTCAGTCTGGGATCCTCCCAGATGGGGGTGAGAGGTCCACCGCAGGACAGGCAGGAAAGAGCAGATGACAGGGGTCCATGGGCATGCCGGGAGTCCATACAGGACGTGACAGGGGCGCAGCACATACATGACACCGCCCGCCCACAGGTCCATGTGGGCACATGGGGACAGATGGAAAGATAGCCGTGACCCAGGGGGTCCAGCTCCAAGCGCAGGCTGGGAAACTCCTTGAGTAAGGGGACTTACCCAAATAAACTCTCCCAAAGCAGCAAGCCTGGGAAGGGGCCACCGGGTACGAGAAGGAAAGGCTCTGAGATGCCAGTCTGGGCATCACATGTACATGCAGTGGAGGGAAGGTGACCCCGAGAGCCGACACATACCACAGGCTTTTCCATAGTGCTGAAGAGCCAGCAACACCACCAAACGCGGGAACTCAGATGAGGGTCCCCAGGGGCATGGGGCGGGGGGGCAGGGGCTGACCACAGAGGGAAACTTCCTGGGTCTCTAGGGTATGTCACATGGTATAAACTGCTCAGATCGTCCACAGGGGCCTCGACATCACATAGCATAACACACCTGTGACGATCAGGGGGCCAGGGACAGTGGCTCTGAGAACCTCAAACCCAGCGGCCAGGGACAGACCAGGGCAGCTGAGGAGAGGGGCCTGGAGATGTGGAAAGTGGCAGAACTAAGAAGCGGGGTTCAAATCCCAGGAAAACAAAAGAGGGTCTGGCCAGGGTGAGGATCACCCAGAGCCTCCGCTAGCACTAACCTCTGTGGATCACCGAAAGCTTGCTGTGCAGATGCTCCAGGGCCCTGACGATCTGCAGGGGGAGAGTGACATGAGCACAGAGGGCCCCTTCAGCTGGCCGGGTCCCTATCCACACACGCTCCAGCGCCCCACGGTCCCAGTTGCCATGGACGCCCCCACCTTACTCCAGAGGCCTGGAAGCTAGGGATACATTCACCTTGGAGCCCCTCCGAACCCCCCACTCATGACCCTCCACAGACCACACACACCCCTAGCCTCTGCCGCTCCCTGCTGCCTCTCCCCTCAGGCAGTACCCGGCTGCATGCTGCGGCCCTGCCCTTGGGAGACACTCCAGGGACTGGGCAGCTGGTAGCCGGCTCAGCGTCCCCCTCAGGTGAGAGTGACACCAGTGGGTTTTCTTTTCCTTTGGGTGGGGAGGGAGTGGTGTGGGTATACCTGGAGATGTTCAGGGCCTACAACTGGCTCTGCACTAGAAGATAGATCACTCCTGGAGGGGCTCAGGGGACTGTCGGAGTGCTAGGGCTCAAACCCAGGTTGGGTGTGTGCAAGGCCAGCACCCTCCCCGCTGAAACATTGCTCCAGCCCATCCCCGGCAGTTTCAACGCCTCCCACCTGCAGACGGCCAGAGCACCACAGCTGAGAACCCTCCAGATGCTGTCCGGGAGCCATGAGTCACGGGCTGTCAAGGTTTCTATGCTGCTCTCTAATATTCGCCCTCCAACACTGCTGGACACTAACCTTCTCCCCAGCTTAGCTGCTACCTCCACTGGCTGCCTGAGGAAGCTGTAAACACTAAAGTGTTTTCTAGAACAGGGGCCAGGAAGGTCGGAGGCTGCACCAGAGGCCTAGGGCCTGGATCTCCTCAAGCAGGAAGGTGCAGGAACAGGTCAGGGCAGCAAGCACGGGGGCGGGGTATGGCTCAGCAGCTGAGGGAGCCAGCAGCAGGCCCGTTCCTGCTGCCACAGGGCTGGACCCCAGCCCCCCCAGACCAAGGCCACTCACAGACACGGCAATCTCCCCCAGAATGTCTTCGGGAATCGTCATATCCTTCTCCAGCACTTTCCGGTAGAACTTGTCAAGGGACGTGTCCATGAGCTCCATACAGATCCAAACATCTCCCTGCAGGGGTCAACTGAGGTCAGCCCACTCTGATACCCGCCCCTCCCCCACCCCCGACCTCCCACAGCTGGGGCTCCCCTCTTCAGCCATGGGGATGCTCTGAGCTCGCAGCTCCTTGCAATCTCCCCTTGCCCCCGCAGTCCCTGTCCACCTGCTCTCTGTCCACCTCCAGGCTACACTGCCCAGCCACACACCCAGCTGTCCTGGCCGAAAGTTTCCCGGGAACAGTAACAGCGTGTCTGAGTGGGCATCACCCCAGATCTGACCACTGGGAACAAGGGCGGGACCTGTGCACCCGGCCCAGTCCCTCCAGCCCAACACATGGGGTTCATCCAGCTCTAACCTTGGCTGCCACTTTCCACCTCTGTCCAGGATGCCCTTCTCCCCATACCCTACCCCCTTTTCTCAGGAAATTCCTGTGTGGCCTTCAGGACAGCCTCTGGAAGGCAGCGGCAGCATTCCCTGGGCGTCCCTGAGTGTGTAAGGCCTGGGTGTCCGTCACCCCAATGGCATATACGGACTGCACAGGAATCAGGTCTGCCCAGCCAAGCAAGCCCTGGGCCTGCTAAGTGCTCACAGGAAGTGTCTGGGCAGGTAGCAAACCCAGAGCGTCCACCCTAGCTCCTGGTGTCCATCCACATCCCACAGCGGCCTTCCTGCTCGCTGGCCAGCTCCACAGCAGCCAAGCCACATCCCTGTTCTCCTTCACTCCTGGTCCTCCCAGTGAAGTCAGTGCCTCACACAGCGCCCCCTGCTGGCCCGGCCAGGAGAGGCAAGCAGCACCCCTATGGCACCCTCGTGCCATGGCAGGCCTCAGGTCAGTAGCAAGGGACAGCAAAGGAAACTGAGGCAGAGGTTGGCACAGTCGGGTGATTCTGCTCCAGAGGCTGCGCTCTCAGGAGCCCAGAGGAAGGCGAAAATGGGTGGCCTGAGCTCCAGACCCAGTCCCGGCAGTCAGCCCCGCCTGAGCCGTACCTCTCTAAAGAGGGCCCCGTAGAAGGTGACGGTGTAGAAGCAGTCCACGGTGCGCATGTTGACATCCAGGTCCATGAGCAGCCGCTTCTGCTCCTGTGAGTTCACAGTGGCCCGGATCCGCTGTGGGAGAGAGCTGCCACTCAAGGTCCGGCCCCAGCTCCGCCCTGTCCAGCCCTGCCTCAGCTCCGCCCTGTCCTGCCCAGAGCCACCTCCAGCCCCTCCACAGAGAAAACCCTCACACAGCACTCGCTGGCCACCTGCTTCTCCAAGTGAACAGCGTCCCCCTCACCTGAACCTCAAATCACTGCCGCTCTCACCTGTCTGAGGAGGGTGGGGTGTTCTAATTCACTTGGGGAAGGTCTGCATTCTATGGCTGGGTCAGGAGCTGAGGGGCACCCCACACCTCCTTTACACCACCTCCAGGGCCCCGGCCCGCCCGGGCCCTGCTCACCTTCACGGCCATGATGGTGCCGCTCTGGGCATGCCGCACCTTCTCTACCACCCCGTAGGCACCACGGCCCAGCTCCGAGATGGTGACCAGGTCGTCGGCCTCCACCTCAAAGTTCTTGGGGGACAGAAAAGAGAAGGAGTAAGTGGTCACTCAGAAACCAACTGGTCAGAAACCAACTCTCACATCTCGCCCAGTGGAGGCAGCAGGAGGGTGGGAGAAAGAACAGAGTTGATTCCTCAGATCCGGATTCAAATCCTAGGCCAACTACTTCTTCCAGTGGGACCCGGGTCTGATGGCTCACCCTCTCTGAGCGCATGGGACCCTATCTTAAAGAAGCACAGTGTGTGTGGGGGGGGGGGGAGTGACAGGAGCGATAGTACAGCGGGGAGGGCACTTGCTCGCACACAGCAGACCCGGGTTTGGGCCTGGCTTTGATCCTCAGCACCCCATATGGTCCCCTGAGCAATGCCAGGAGTAATTTCTGAGTGCAGAGCCAGGAGTAACCCCTGAGCATCACTGGGTGTGGCCCAAAACCAAAAATCAAAACAACAACAACAACAACAAAAAGAAGCCTGGTGCCCAAGTCCAGGGGCTTTCAAAAGCAAGGAAGAGAGAGTCTGAGTGTGCAGGGATGCATCCCTCTCCCTCCCCCCCCCCCCCCCCTCAGTGCTGATCGAGTCATGCATTTAACCACTGCTGGTCAAGCACCGCCTAAGTACAAGTGCCTGTTTGCGGCCACAGGTTGCAGAGCACATTGCTGGGAGCGGCGTGAAGGGGGCATCCCACTCCCTCTCCAGCTCCCTACCACAAGAGGCGAAAATGGAGGTCCACAAATGGGAATTCAGATGCTGATAAGTGAATTGGGGCGTACAGCTAAGCCGCGGCCCTGGAGTGGGTCGCCACTCAAAGACCCTGGGCCTCTCTCGTGGGTGATGCTCGATGTCTGAGCGGGACCCCCAGTTGCTGGTGTCTGAGCCACAAGGATCCACGTATGCAACCAGGCTCTTGGCACTGGCCCTGAGGGTCTGCTCAGGGTCTGGGTGGGACCTGGCGTCCAGGGTCCTGAACCCGGAGATCAGAGAGCTTTTTACCAGCTCGGGGCCTCAGTCAGGCCACTGGTCCTGGCCCAGAGGGACACACACACCAGCCTCCAGCCCAGACACCCACCACAGCCCCCAGGACTCATGCCCTAGCTGTCCGTGGCACAGGCTCTGCTGGAGATGCTGGGCCCGACAGGGTGGCGCCCAGTGCCTACCTTATCTCCGATGGTAATGAACGTCCGGGAGTCCAGGTTCCGGGGGGGCCTGCAGGGAGAAGACAGATCTCTTGAGATGACACACAGAGAAGGAGTAACACAGAGAGGGTGGCTCGAGGGAGGAGGCACCTTACTGCACCTGCCAGAGCCTCTGCAGCGCCAGGCCCCCATGTCCCATCAAGAGTGTCAGGACCCCCACAACTTCCACACCACAGAGGCTGCCCCAGGCTGATCCCTCCTTTGGGCCTCCCAGGCAACCTCTGTAGCTGGACCAGAGGAGAAACTGAGGTAGACTCACGTGGGGTTGGGCACAGGTGGCTTGGGCACACATGATATTCGTAACTTCTTTTTCTTGGTCTTTTCTAAAGGGGAGAAGAGGAGAGGTTTCAGATGCACATTCGGTCCCCTGGGCTGCCACGGAGCACAGCAGAGATGGCACAGAATGACAGCACCATCACCCCCATGGCCCCTGAGCACACAGGTGCTGAGGGTCAGTGTGACCAATGCCACACCAAAGTACCCAGGGAATGTGCCCACACAGGTTGGAAGTGCCCAGACCCCACCTATCCTCCTAGAAGCTGGCCATGGATGGTCACCCCAAAGTCGTCCTAGCAAAGAGGCACCTCAGGGCAATGCCTTCAAGGAACTCAACTGTTCCACGGGGGCCCTATCCCACCAACAAGGCACAGAGCAAGCTACCACTGGGCACCCACTTGAAAACAGGGACTGGTCTGGGCAGCTCAGGCTTCCACCAGGCCCCTGTATCTACGTTTCCACAATGATCTAAATCATGCCACCTACAAAATTCCCGTGCTGCCATCCAGAGCTGCTCAGGGTGGCAGCCTGTGCAGAGCCAGGACCTTCATAGAAATGAGCTAAACTGAGGCCTCTGATCTTTCTAACAGGGTATCGGGACCCAGAGACAGGCCCAGGAACAAAGGCTGGGACAGCGCCATCCCTTGAGCTCAGGGAGCCAGCCTCGCCGACACCTGGATGTGGGAGTCCAGCCTCTGTCACCATGGCACCACGAGCAGGGCCTGCCCGGTGAGCCCCCGAGGGTGCTGCTCTGGTCCCTGGGAGATGCCCTAGCACCTGCCAGGTCCCAACTCTGCCACCCTTGCTCTGTGCCCCAGGTGTCATACTGGAACCCAGACACCCGCCTCTGAGGCCCTGCCCCCTTCAGCCTCAAGTTTCCCCAGTGGCCTGTGGGGCACAAACACTTATCCATGGGCAGAGGAGGCCACAGGGACCACACAGCACACACAACCTGGAGCAGCGTCCATCCTTCCACATCTCCCAGCCCAGGTTATACTTTTCAGCAGAGCAGCAATGTCTTAGGAGCAGGGTGTGGCCCAGAGCCACTGGCCGCCACCAGCCCTGCACAGCAGAAGGTCGAACCTGCCTGTGTCCCTGGCTAAGGCGCATGGGGCTGCTGGGTGGAGCCAGGATCACTCGCTATTACACCTGTGCCCCATGCCTGCACCCAGCACACAGTCTGTGTTTGTAGCACCGAGGGTACCAAGACCCCCCAGAGCCACAGCCACACCCACCACTGCGGTCCTGGGGCAGGCGGGAGACAGGGGATGCCCATGGAAAGCAGGGCGCTGAGCCAGCAGCCTGCAGGGGTCAAAGCACAGCAGGTCCAGGCAAAAGGCCTTGCCCACCACCCCCTACCCACTGAATCTGGCATCCTGGGCCTCAGTTTCCCCACCTTCGTGTTTCCCCAATAGGAGTGTCCCTGCTGAATGTATCCCCTCATGGCCTGGGGTGGGAGGTGGGCTCACAGCACAGCCCATGGAGAGGCCCTGAGAGCAGAGGGGGTGAAGGATGTGAAGAGCAGGGCCAGGCTCCCAGTTAAGCGGCTCCCAGGACGGTTCTGGCTGAGCCACCTCCCCAGAGTCCAGAGCCTGCTCTCCACCCCCCACCTCACCCCCAGGTCCTCGCCTTTCCCACCTCCCAGCGCCCTTTAGGAAGGCTGTGCCTATCACAGAACGGGGGCAGGGGTCTCCCTCCCCCCTGCTGGGGACTGGCAGGGACTCTGCCGCTCTGGGGGCCAGTGCCCACAGCTAGCATGGTCAGTGCTTGACAACGGGACAGCATTTGCAAAGCATGGGCATGGTCCCTGAAGAAGGGGTGGTGTAGCTTCACACAGGGGAAAGTGGGGTTCAGGGCAACAGGGGTCCACGCAGCAATGAGAGCCCAGTTTGAGTCCAGCTGCCCTGCTCCTGGGCACCCAGATGATGGGGTCTAGGTTTCAGGGGAGAGAAGGGAAGGTCTTGCCCTGGGCACCCAGCATGTTCCAGCACTGGGACCTGACCAATTCCACCCAAAACCATCCATGGCAGAAATGGCTGCCCACAGCCTGCTTATACACAAGCATCCGTTAGCCTCCCGGGCACAGTCTGGGGTTTGATGCCTGCTTCCAGGGGACAAAGCATCGCCCTGCTGGGTGCGGAAGTGTGGGGTGGGGGGAGAGACCACTGGGCAGGGAAAGGGGGTTCTTACACCTGCACTGTGAAGGTAGCCAGGACCCAGGGGGCTTCTCCCCCAAAGCCACTCCAAACATACTTAGATCCTGGGGTCTGGGGTGCATATGCCTGTAGCCCAGCTGCAACAGTCAGAGCCTCTGGAGAACACTCTGAGTGGGTGATCCTGCCATACTGTCCACAGTCACAGAGTCAAGCAGAGGCACTCGTGTTCCAAGCTGGCCCTGGAAGCTGGTGTGACAGCAGCCGGAAGCTCCCCTCCCTCCCTGCAGTGCGATGGCCATGAGCTATGCACAGGCTTAGGGATGGTCTCTGACCCCGATAATTCCACAAATGTGGGAAACTTGACATAATCTGTGCGTGTGGGGGGCTGCGTCCTTGCTCCCCAGGGTGGGGGGTGGGGGAATAGTTCTTCTTTCTCTGGCCCCCAGCACGGCCTGGTGTGTCCCCAAAACAAACAAACATACAGGCTCCTTCTCTTTCCAGTCAATGAAAGCAAAGTTTCAAATCCTTCTGCCCTGAGTCCCAAGAGCATCAGTGGCAACGTCTACACACGCTGAGTGCCCCATCCACTCTCGGGACCTGCAAGAAGGCGTTTTCCTCCCCTTTCACAGAGAAGGCAGCGTGGGTCAGGCTGGTGCTGTGGGAGCGCACAACCTCATCTGTGTGAGGCCCCGGTCTCCATCCCTGAGCTGCAAAAAATAATCATTTAAAAACTGTCAGAGGGACGGAGAGATAGCACAGAGGTAAGGCACTTGCCTTGCCCGCATCAGGCGTCTAGCTACTCCTTCCAGCCACGCTGCCCTGGAGATCCGCAAAGGCCAGGTCCATGTGGGAACAGCGAGGACCAGCCTGCTTTGCTCCCTGACCCACTGCAGCCTCCCCTGGGTCTCTAGAACATTCTAGATGGCACAGAAAGCCCAGGAATGTGGGCAGCCTGCCCAGAGGCCACATGCTGGGCAAGTGGCCTGGCTATTCCTGCTCTCTGGGGTTCGGGGCTCACAGCTGTGAAATGGGAGCAAAAAGGAGGGCAGCCCAGCTACAGGGTGAGGCCTCTGTGCACGCTGGAACAACAGCCCATATGCAGCTGCCACACCTCTTATCAACACCTCCCCAGAAATGGAAACCCCGCCCCAAATACTGAAATGCATAGGGAACACCTAGCCCTGCCACAGAGCTCTCTGGAGGCAGGCAGTACAGCAACGCCTGCAAAAAACGGACAGGCTGCAAATCATGGGGCAGGTAGAGGGGAAGGAACGCTGAGCCAGAGTGCACAGAGGGACATGGGGACAGCCATGGGCAATTCAGGGTGGGGTGGACACTGCTGACACCAGGTGCTGGGACACTACTGCAGCCTGATCACCTAGACTGCAGTTTAAAAGGGTTTTGGGGGGGTGGGAGGGGAGCAGGGTGTACTGGATAGTCCAGTGGGAGGATGCCTGCCTTGCACATGGCCAACCCAGGTTCAATGCCTGGCATCCCATATGGTCCCCAGAGTAATTGCTGAGTGCAGAGCCAGGACTAAGCCCTGAGCATCACTGGGTCCACGGTCCTCCCGTTATTCATCGATTTGCTTGAGTGGGCCCAGTAACATCTCCATCGTGAGACTTGTTGTTACTGTGTTTGGCGTATCGAATAAGTCACGGGTAGCTTGCCAGGCTTTGCCGTGCGGGCGAGATACTCTCAGTAGCTTACAAGGCTCTCTGAGAGGGGAGGAGGAATCGAACTCGGGTCGGCCATGTTGGCTGCGTGCAAGGCAAACGCCCTACCCACTGTGCTATCGCTTCAGCCCGAGCATTGCCATGTGTAACACAAAACTAAAACAACTCAAAAAATATTTGAACAACATAGGGCCAGAGAGAAAATAGAGAAGTTAAAGCACCTGCCTTGCACGCAGCCAAGTCCTGTTGGATCCCTGGTCCCCCAAACCCTGCCAAGAATGGCCCTGGAGCACTGCCAGGTGTGAACCCAAAGCAAAAGCATTAACAAAACTTAAGAATTCACTTGGGGTGTGAGAGATCCACACAGCAGCCTCCTCTCAAACCCAGTGCTCCAGGGGAGACCCTTGATGGCGACAGTGGCTTCCCCCGGGGCAGGCCGTGCACTCCAGATATGCTGACCCCGATAATTCCACAAATGTGGGAAACTTGACAGCATAATCTGTGGGTGTAGGGGGCTGCGTCCTTGCTTCTGCGTCTTTGCTCCCCGGGGTTGGGGGTGGGGGAAAAGCTCTCCTTTCTCTGGCCCCAACATGACAGACCCCTCTCCCACCCGGGGTTTCTAGAGTGTCCTCAGACACCCCGGTGAGGAGCCGGTGAAAGCACATCTGCTTCTACTCCCTCCTCCCTGGTTGGGAAGGTCAGAGGCCACCACCCTCGGACCTGCACACTGGGCAGCATGGCCCTGATCTCCCGGCGGGTAGCCTGCCCTGGCAGCTGTGACACAGAGGCCCTGGTGCAGCCGTGCCAGCTGTCAAGTGAGGGAGGGAGGGAAGGAGGGAGGGAGGGAGGGACGGAGAGGCTGCCCTGCAGACAGCCCAGCAACAAGGCATCAGCCGCCGGCCACAGTCACCGGCTGCCACAGACATCAGGCCGAGGCCCAGATGGCCAGGCGGCCAGCGCTGCCCAGGTGCAGGCCCACTGGGGTGACCGTCACCACAACAAACAGATTCGCAGGCCACCACCACCAAATCACGAGCAGCCGCCAGTCTGAGCTCGTAGAGCCCCGGGCGCAGGTGGGCGCTGCGCCAGCCTCCATGCCCTCAGCCTGTTCCCGCCTTCCAGAGAAGCCCAGGAGGGGACGGGGCACCCTCCACGGACCCGAGGCACGGAGACAGGGACCGCACCCTGCCCGCCCCCTCCTCCCCATCCGTCCCC